GTCTGTGAAACTTTGCTTTGGTGTCCTCCTCAGAAAAGGTTCACACAACCTATAACCTCTGTTTGGCCCCAAAATAAAAGATTTGAGGCCGCCGCTTTCCTCGTTAGCAGCTGGTCTAAGGCAGAGCTGGCAGCATCGAATTGTTTTGCCAGGGATCTTCTGGGTGAAAAACCTCAATTGAGTCCGCGTTGAATTGAGACTGTGCAATATTTTCTAGGTCCAAGTGGCTCTTAAGATCTTCCTTCTTCTCTGCTGGTGTGTAGGATGTAATAGCCTCTCGTAAATACACTGTGGCAGATCTCCACAAGATAGACTGGCTTATCTCCAGCGTTTTATCCTCAGCAATAAAACACTGCCGCTGCTGCTGCATGGTAATATTCTCTACAAAGGAAATCAGGCTGAGTAAGGTAAGGCTTAGTCACCACGGTCTCCAAGATGAACCTCTGTCAGAAGAGACCTACTCTATACTGTGATAGAGAAATGATTAGAAAGAGGATACTGTCTGTACAGTCCTTGAATCTATGCAAAACAATTAAGGACATAATCTTAGGCAGCACACGTATTTTTCTGTCTAATTGATAGAGCGCTCTAAGTGGGGGTTTTTAATCCGATTATTTAAAAAAGCTGAAGCGTTGAATGCTGGGAAATGACAGTCACATTGTAACAAAGCCTTTTATTTTTGCACACAATGTGCTGGTCTTTCTGATAGAATTAAACAATAAAACAATTATTTACTCAAATTTCCTTCCTGTTAGACTGCTTCATAGCAGGTTTTGGTTTGGACTAGCAGAAAAAAAGAGAAACTAATTTTGTTAATGATGGCTTTATGCCATCAAAGTTCCCAGTAAGCCTTGACAGTGAGCCAGTATTTAAAAAAACCTTAGCTAACTCACTTAAATGGAAGACATTGACCTTGTGTTTTTCCTGCAGTGGCATGCCCAAATGTTCTCTATAAAGTGAAAAATGTAAAACAAGCTAACTGAGCAAGTACAAGAAGTCCTGACAGAAATAGTGAAAGCACCTATGTGAGTGTGTCAATAATGTAAATATGCTTTGAGGTTAAAATATTCAAAATGTGTCATACCTAAAAGCCACAATCAGCACTTTTACTTGCACATTCCCTCTGCAAACAGTAGTGCACAGGAATTCAAAAGGGTTTCATGGAGGAAAACGACAAAAAATGATGTTCTGCGGAGGTTGTTAAAGTGATTTTTGAATCATTGGACTGTTTGTCTCTCCTCTGTGTCTTCTGTATGTCCTGTTTCTTATGTTTCTTTCATTCAGGGTGAAAAATATAACCTAAGTTTTTATTTTTATTGGTAGTAGGAAAGGAAAAATTTGCAAAAATAACACCTGCCAGGTAACTGACATGGAAAATATTTTCCAAAAATGCCCCAATTTAGCCTGGTAGAAAATCCCAAAAGTTAAGAAAACTGTAAATGCATTTTTAACTTCTATGTTAGTGCAGACGTGATGTTTATGTCTCTGCACTTCAGCCTCTGTCTCTCCTATTTTCTCTCTTTCTGTTGTGGGAATGCTCTGATGATAGCATCCATCCTAAACAGGTCTGCAACCTGCCCGAGGACCAGCTCATTAAACTGTTTCAGCATTCATTGTCTCGTTACTTTGATGCAGAGGAGAAGTGCTTTCAAGCTCACACTAACTAATATGTCATCAGACAAGCAATGCGTATACAAACATGGCTCTGCAACAGAGAATTGCTGATGGTATCTGCTAATGATGTGCGTGTGTGCATTTTTAAATATGTGAGCACGATTTATTTTAGACAGTTTAGACAGTCAGCTGCATAAACAAAGTCAGTGAGAGATTGGATTCAGAAGCTAATCTTTCTTGGATGAAGTAGTCGAGTATATGTGCAAATAAATTTTCGCACTGAAGCTAGTCGAGAAAGTTGATCTGTAACAAAATGACTTGTGATCTTTCTGTAATATTTCTAGTCATTTTTTAGCTTTCAGGTTCAAGTTTCAGATTCAGTTTTACATTCTCTGTCATGCTTTTGGTGCTGAGATATTTCTCATATACAGTCTGATTATGCGTGTGCTATTTATTTTTCAAGCATGCAGTCACTGTGCATGCGTTCGAAAACTTGCATATAAAAATAGATGTTATTCGTCTTTATTTCTGTTTGGAAACCACTCCATCAGTTATTATAATCAAAAGCAGAGAAAAGCAACAGCAACACACAACACAATATATTTCCACACAGCCTTACAGCAAAAGTTTTTTATAGTTTGTCTGGAAACGGACAGAGTTGCCAAAGGGATTTGTAGCCATGCTAACTCTGTTCATGTCTTCTGCTGTGGTTCAGTCCGCTACTTTGACCTGAAATATGAATTCAATAATGAATGGATCAGCATAAAATGTATCGCAGATATCTATCTGTTCTCCCCGAGGATGAATCGTTCACTACAGCGTCGCCAGGATAGATTTCAGTTACAGGATTTAGGTTTACTAGTTTTGTTACTCATTCAGAACCATTTGCAAACTAATGCCATTTTCATAATCCTTAGCTCTTAAGCTAAAACAATCCTGATAAACTGCATCTTTGAATCTGTTACGTGGCATTGATATTTGTACAGAAATATACAGTCTGTAGGCAAGATCCAAAATTTTGTACCAGAAATATTCAGATTTCTCTTTGTCGTCTGCTTGTTGTCTGAGCAGTATCGACCAATCAATTCAATAACAAGTCTAACAACATCATTTGAGCATGTTTTTTCCCCCTTTAAATCTATCTGTAGTCAAACTGTAATCATTGACAAGAGTATAGAAAAGAGCCTTGATAGGACACAATAGAAGCCAAGAGGCAGTGGCCATTGCACCCAGAGGGTAAGTCATCTGGTGTCCCAAACTGTGCTTTTATAAGCTCCACATAGTCACAGCTCTAGGAAAATGCAGTATAATGCCATATAAGTGGAGACAGTCACCCACATAAACAGTGCTGATAATTGTAGAGGCATGCACTCACCTCTGCAGGCAGTCAGCCAACCAGCGGCTAAATGAAAGTGGCAATTCATTCTGCCTGTCTAGTCAAGTACCCGTGCAAATCCTGAATGCGAGATGATGAAACTAAAACACACTGTCATTGTTAATAACACACGGGTGACTTGCCCGAATATTTCACTTAATGTACAGTAAAGGAAGGTTAAAAAAAGAAGAAGAAATGAGGCATGACGTGAGGAATGTCATGCTACCAAAATGTAGGTTGTGATGACTACATCCCAATAAAACATCTTGAATCATCACATCTGAAGGTGGTTTTAAAAAGTGAGGTCTAGTGGGTAGGAGCGGTTTCTGGGCTCTCCTTTCTGTCAGCATATCATGTTATAAAGCTAACATCCCTCGAGATTCTTAGTTGCTCCAACAAAGGTTTCGTCTACATTAGTTTCTATGTAAGCTTAAGCAGAAATTTATTCTCCGTGTCCGTGTGTGTAGCCACTTGGCCTTAATGAGAAATTCTCCGTCCACCTGTCAGGTTTTCTCTTCGTATCTGAAATTAGCAGATATTTCTCTGCTCCATGCAAACCAATCTTTTCCCCCATCGTTAACCAAATCCTGCCCACCAGACTGATTAAACTAAAACAGTCTGGCCTTTTCTTGTCTAAATACCTTTAAAATTATATTTACCTCAAGTGACCAGAAATAATAACCTTTAAAAGAAAGTGCAGTTTCATTTGAGAATATTTATTTTAGAAAACACTGTGGCCTCATTATTTGTGAAAGAAGTTGTTCAGGGCCCCAAGCAGTGCTGTTTGTACCATTATTGCTTTGGGCCATAAACTATACTTGTACTCCCCCATTTAACAGCATACAACATGAAACTTTGTTTTTTTCTCATTTCTATAGCTGTTTACTGTGTTCGGCACTGTGCAGGACGGCAGGTTGTCCTTACATGCACTAAGAGAAAATGCCAGAGTCTTGTCACAGTAAAATATGCTAAGAAGGTATTGATATTTTAATTAGAGCTGTGACTTTTCTTGGAAGCATTGCAGTGCTCTTCAAGGTTGAAGCCATTCTTTGAATTCACTGGTGTATTGTTATTTTTAAGGCCTCTGTAAAAATTAGATTTCATTAGATGGCCTCTAACAGCTCCAAATTAAAGCAGCATTCTCTCTGTAACTGCCAGATGTGTAATAAGAAGCCACTTGATACCATATTGACTTAAAAGAAAATATTATTTCATTATTGTTTTTAAAGTTGGTTGTTGCTGCTAAAAAACACGAGTCATTGCATGTTTTATTAGAAAGCTCCATTCTGTGTAACAGGAACACATACTGGCTTCTTCCCCTTCAGTTCAGGGTCGACAGGCAGTGTACACCAGTGTAGCAGCTGGAATAACATACTGAGACATCCAACCATTCACACCTGCATCACCTGTTAAGCAGACCTGCATGTCTTTGAACTGTGCACGTGAAGAGAACCCAGTCAGCATGTAAACGCCACACAGAAAGGCTAAAGCGAGAGAACAGGCTCTGTCTTTATAAGTTCTCACGATCGAGAATGTTTGTGAAGGTTGATAAAAGTTGTGTGACGCGTGACTCTTTCTACAGCTGTGTTTGTCACTCACCGTGTGCCTTTAATGAACAGCTCATTAGACGGAAACCTCATTAGCGGTCTGACGACAGGGAGCAAATGATCCGGGGAAAAGAAGAGGAATTTGATGCGTCTCATTTATTGGAGGTAGAAAGGCAGGGAGCATTCAAGGATGCGCTTTTGGGTTTGGAGTAAACATCATCATGTTCATAACAGCAGCCCTATAAACATAATCCCCCATGGCAATACGCTCCATAATAATACTAATAATAATAAAAAAAAAAAACCAAAAAAGACGTGTAATTGCTTCAGTAATGTATTTTTAAAGCTGCCCCTTTTTCATTTCTGTTTTAATCGGGCCTGTTGTCGTGTTTCAGTGCGTACTAAGAGGACATATAATTTACTGGCAGCATAGCGATATGACAGTTTTTCTCTGTGCTTTACAGATCTGTGACAAGGAATGGCACTATTATGTAATCAACGTGGAATTTCCTGCAGTGACTCTTTTTGTGGATGGCGTGACTTACGAACCCTACCTAGTGACGGATGACTGGCCGATCCACGCCTCGAAGATCGATACGCAGCTGACCGTGGGCGCCTGCTGGCAAGGTCAGTGTGTGTGTGTGTGTGTTTACCATACATAAGCATAGAAAAACAGCCATTTTTAATGCTTTATTTAAAAGCACCAGGGTTAATTAATTGTTTCAAGGCTGCATACATCCCTTTAACGAGATAAATAAAAAAAGGAAATGATATGTTGTCCTGATTTTGCAAAGCAGGAAATTGAAAGCAGGTCTTGCGTATTCTGATACTATGTAATATTCAACATGTGACATAATTGCCCTGTGCAGGAACGCTATTGAAAGCAATACATTTCACAGTATGTGCATTGCAGGCCACTGAAATGCATAATGAAATGCATTATGCTCCAAGAAACCGAATAGTCTGTGCGAAAACTGCAGGTGCAGCAGTCAAAAACATGTTTTCTTTTAATGTGCAGTTGTTACCAGCCTGAAAAATGCTGACAACATATCATAAGCATAAAGAAACCGCATCAACAAAAAGGCAGAGCAGCCCAGAGATGTTTAAAATTACATTTGAATCACAAAGGGAGATAGTGAGAAAGAAGGCGAAAATAAATAAAGAGACTAACATTTACATCCCCGGCCTGCGAGCTGTTTCCTGTGGCACAAGCCGAGCGGGTATCAAACAGGAAATTCTGCGCCGTCGTTTCCAACGAGAGGGAACGGGAGCGTGCAGAGATCGCGTTGGACTGAATAAAAGCTACCCTGCTGTCATGTTTATTACTTGAATAATTACAAAAATAAAGTGCTTCATATGAGAAAGAGACAGTAGTGATCCTTTTCTTGCTGCCTGCCTAAATCACATTCACAACCCTTGCCAGCATCATCCAACGCTTCAATCCTGATGGCATTTTGGTTGCTGCTTAAATTTCGTTTCATCCTGTGCCTGATTGCAATTTTCTTTCTGTCGTCATCATTTTCTTCCTTGCTTCATACAGCCCTCTCTTGCCGCCTCTTTCCATGAATCTCTGATTGTGAGAGAAAGCCCTGAAGGAAGGATTAGCTAGAGTGAATGGAGGACAACTTTGCCAGCTATTACATCCCAATGAAGCCGCTTTAAGCTTCACTAAGCCGCAACTGATAACTTTGCAGGCCATTAGCGAGCAAGATTGCCTTTCAGAGTCTCTCATTTCTCCATCCTCCCTTTCACCACAATCAACAACATAATGATGAGACATGTGGAATAAAAAGGCATTTAGACTGTACTTTTCACTGCCCCGAGAGCAAAAAGAAGATGCGTGTTGTTTTCTTTACAAGGTTAACCCCAGAGAACGGATTTGGCTGTTGTTGGGTCTAAACAGTTTTCTGTGGCATTAATTTGTCGTTGAGCTTGAACGGCAAATGTGAGTTCGCCGTCCCATTTCATTTAATCTGCGACACGGCCGTGGGTGTGGACTTTTTTAAGCAGCCCTCACAGTATTCAGAAATTTTAGCAAATAAGAAGCTTTAAAAAGAGCGTGGGGTGATTTTATGTGGGAAATGAAAGGCATCAATCAAAAGAAAGCAGCATAACGTACTCCTTTTGAAATCCTTTGAGAAGGCAGCAAAGAAACATGTATTCTTGGACTGGAGGTAATCCACCAGACCTTTCTCGTTTTGACTTGTCATAATAGGAAACGCGCAGTTGTAACTAATAACATTAATTATGGCTCTGCTCTTTCAAGGTGTCGCAGTAATGGCAGCGAAGCAGCGGGAGCAAAACAAGAGTGCATGAAACGCGCGCGGCTACGGGTGTGATTAGTGTGTGTGCCTTTCAAGAGAAAGTTGAGTAGGAAAACAGAGTCAAACAAGATCCAGTTTTTTGAAATATTCAAACATTTTCTAATGTTGATACGCATGCATTGACCTAGAGCGCGCTAATGAGTCAGTTTGCCCAAATAAAATGCAAGAGAATCACAATGAAAACAAGAATGGTTGTAACCTTGAGACAGGAACGAAACATATTTGCTCGTACTTAAAAGCATCAGTCCAAGGGCAAATGTGTAATTTAATGCAGAGTATGTCTTTGAAATCTGGAGATCTCTCCTGATGATTTTTAAAAAAATGTTTTCTGAATGATCTTGCTCACTGTTTCCAAAATGTCACAACTCCTGTATCCAAGATTTGCTAGTTATAGTATCTGGCATTGTACTCTTCAGTGTTTACTCTTCTCTGTTTTATTCCGTTTTGGTTGATTGTGCAAATCTATGTAAAATAGATGCATGTTTGGATGTCATTTTGCAGGAAAACATGTCTTGGCGATGAAAAACCTTTACACAGGCAGAAAGAAAGGGAAATGATAGACAGGCAAATTCTCTGCTCCCACTTACACCTACCTGTGTTCCAAAATGCACAATCCTCACCATGTCTGCTCTGAGTGTATGGGTATAAGAAATGTACTATAAGAAAAACAAGAGTCCACCTATATATATGGAAAATAAACTTAGATTGCATTTTGTATGTGAAGGAACACTGTATCACTGTAGACACAGATTGTGATATATCTACTAAGTGTCAGAAAACTATAAAAACATAGCAAAAGAAGAAGTGGCAGGCCTAAAAAAAACTGTCTAAAAGAGATGACCAGTATCTGAAAGTCATATCCCTGAGAAATAGGGGGGCGGGCAATCCAATAAAAGACCTGACACAGTACCTGAGAGATATATCGGGCTCTTCAGCTCATCCGTCTGCTGCTCACTGAAGCCTCATCAGAAATGGTCTCAGTGGAAGAGTGGCTGTCAAGAAGCTGTACTTAAGAAAAGGAAATGGAGAAAAGGGTGAAGTATGCCGGATTACACAAGAACTGGACAGAAAATCAGTGGAAACAGGTCTTATGGAGTGAATGAATCCAAATTTGTCATTTTTGGCTCAAAAATGTGAGCCTGAGTGTCTACAGCTATCTGTAAAAAATGGTGGAAGCTCTGTTGTGGTTTGGAGCCAATTCAGCCAATGGTGCTGAGAAAAGTATCATCAAATTTTGATCCATCTTGAAGCCATCTGATTATTAACAACTTCTTTCACACTGTCAATGCAGTAAAAGTATACCTTAACAGACATACACACAAAATGTGCATGGCAACAGGTCTTACAGAGCGATTAACCCAAAGTGAAATATTTCCAATAAATTGTCAGAAGAGAGCTACAACAATAAGTGTCCACAGCAGCCTGTGAAGCACGATGGAGGCTCTGTCATGGTTTGGGGATTCATTTGAGCCAGCAGTGTTGGAGATCTTATCAAAATTGATAAAAACACAGCAAATTACGGCCAGATTTTGATCCACCGTTTGGAAAGCATCTGATTGGCAAAAGTTTAATTTTTCACCATGATAATGCCCAATCATCCCACACGTTGCCAGGACAGTAAAAGCATAGTTGGACAGAAAAACATACAATGGATTATTATCAGTCATACATTGGCCTCCCTAGAGCTCAGATTTCAACATTATTGAAGCAGAGTGCAATCAGCCAACATCCAAAACAGAGCTTTGAATATCCTTCAAGAAGCCTGGACAACTATTCCTGAACACTACTTAAAGACATTAAGAGAACGCTTGACTAAGAGAGTTCAGGCTGTGCTGATGAATAAAAGTCGTCATATCAAATACTGATTTTCCAGTTTGTTAGAATTGCACAAACTCTGGTTTTTGTCTGATATACTGTATCCACATGTTTGTTTGCAAATCGCTCCAAGTGTTGTCCATTTTCCATTTGCAGAATGTAAAGAAATGAGAGGTGGATCAAGATGTTTGCGTGTAGTTTTTGTATTTTTTCATGTGAAACATTAGTGTAGAATTGTGATAACTGGGGAATAATTTTAAGTGTTTTTTCATCTATGTCATCTATAAAAAGTTGAACACTAACGATTCAGCCTGTTTGTTTTTGGACTAAAGTCTAAGGTAGCACAGCACACAGACATATAAGACATCCAGATCAATCAAAGGTTTATTGATTTGGTTGTCATTGGGTTAATTGAAACAAAATCTATAAGTTTAAGCATGTCTGCTTTCATTTAACTTATTAAACTAACCTTCTGCCTTCAAAGTCAGAACATCGTGTCATACAGACCTCCTCTTACAGATACCAACAATACATTTTCTGTCACAATATGTGATGCAGAAACTGCTGCTGATCATTCTCTCTCAGCTCCACATGTATACACCCTTGTATGATTCACACTGCCTGAGCTGAGGGAGTAGATGCCTGCAGCCCTGTGCAGGCCATCTAGTTCTGAATATCATCTGCAGTGTCTGTCTACAATTCCCCCGAGCGCCTCTGTACAGAATAGCTCTGTCCCAGGAGAACCTCCTAGCTCTGCTAAACGAGTGAGCAACTTTAAATAACAAAACTGCTGAGTCAGTATTCTGCGATGCTAAAAAGTTATATTCAGTTGAAAATGAAAAGGGGGGGAAGCACAGAATAAGAAGCACCAGTAGAGGACTACTTGATACACACACTACTGTTTTTGTCTGGGTTAATAAAGAAGTTAAGTCATTTTCCCAGATAAAATAAAATCAATATGTTTCAGTAAAAATAATAATGATCAAATTCTAGAACTGGAAATATAATTAAATTAAAGACTGTGTAAATATTTCATTGCTACTGTGACATACTTGTTCGTGACACTCGGTTTATTACAAATAGAGCGACATCCACCATTTTTGCATTACTCTAAGAGGAGCTGCTGTCACCTTTTACGAGAATTTTCAAACACGTAAGCCATAACTGACCTGAAAGACTCAGGCAGGAAGTAATTTACCTTAAGGGGGGGTTAGACCTGTATGGAAATTACACCTGTCATGAGAAGTGGTGAAATTGTACCACGGGGCAGAGCTGACAGGAAAATCGGCTACGCTCTCCATATGAAAAAAGTGCACTCTTAAGAAGATGTCAGGGCTTGACAGACCTCCACAGCCTGTACTGCTGTGATACCTTTTACACAGAGGACTGTGCCAAGGTGTTGGCTTCCACTTACTGGTTTTATTTAGCTTATATGAATGGTTAGTTTGTATTTCCCACCGGCTGTGGCAGTCGCAGAACATTTTAGGTCAAACTCACACTACCATCTGTCAAAGTCATAAATCCAATGTGACAAGCTGTCAAAATCCGCTGTTCTGTTGCGTCCTGCGATGTTTCCTTGAATACTGCAGACTATATTCTGTAGGTCATGATGTCTGCTTTTCTTACTTATCTAGAGTGTACAGCACTTAATGTATGTGTACATTTCACATCCCTAACCTAAAATTTTTACCTAAACCTATTTAAACACCTATTTAAAGAGCAATGTTATTTTCAAAGTAATCAAAGTACTTTTTTTCATGTTGGAGCTGATGTAAAAAAATTTTCATGTTTCTCTTTTAATCTAAAAGTTTGAGCGAAATAGCTCTCCATGGTTTCTGTATATTTCCTTAGAAAAGCACACACCCCTTTTTCACTTAGCTTTCTTCTCCATATTGTTACGTCTGTACTTTCCTCTTCTTTCCTCTTCTTTCTCCTCTCATATATCATATATCTTCTCTCTTCCCCACTAGGTGGCGAGGTAGCAACCCCAAGGTTCACTCAGTATTTCCGTGGTAGCCTGTCGGGTCTGACGATCCGACCGGGTCGCATCGAAACCCAGAAGGTTATCTCCTGTTTGCAGGCTTGCAAAGAAGGTCTTGATATTAACTCCCTTGAAAGCCTCGCTAAGGACATAAAGGTGCGTGGAAAAAATGGATTCATTCAACTTATTTCTCCGCAGTAACAGCCAACTGCATTTGCATTGGTCTAAAAGGAAGAAGGAAAGCACCATAACTTATTTATGTGCCGCTTTTAAGTTAAAGCGCTTTCATTTCAATCTCTGGAATATAATGGAGTTGAATTTAAGACGTCCACATCTACATGCTTTTTGATAAAACTGCTCTAAACCTCCACTCATCGTATTATTGATTTACTTTGGAATCTGAATGAGAACAAGTCATTTGTTGGTTTTCCCCAGTTTCATTTTAACCCGGCCCAGTCTGTGCTGGTGGTGGAAGGAGAAGATGTGGACAGCATCAACACGGCCATGACCAAGGTCTCCTACATCAATTCTCGCCAGTTCCCCACACCTGGCCTCCGACGGCTGCGTATCACCACTACAGTACAGTGAGTGCACATTTACTCTGACAGTGCATTTTTATCTCAGCTATTTAAGAGGCGAAACACACGCCATGGCTTTTAAACATCCAGCTTTTCACGCACCTGTTCATAGCTGAGGAGCTCAGCTTTGGAGCAGCTCTGCTGGAAGTACTGTGAGTTAACAACTAGCTCAGGGGTGCATTGACTTTAAAAGACTGGTACTCGCTGTGCACGCACGCACACATGTTGTGGAAATCTCGTGGTACCAGATTTATTCATGGAGGAGGAATACTCAGGATGTTTTGTGCACAAACATTTACTGGAGACATAAACCCACCTGTCATAACATAAAGCATTAAATCTTGTCCTGAGATGTCTTCATGTATAGTGATTTGGTCATTAGCTTAGCTTCCTGCAGTGGAAATCACACCTCTGTAGTTTTCAGTACACAGGCTATATAATTATTAGCTAGATGACATACTGGAGTATGTCACCCCACATTAGCCTAATGAGTTTTTCCCAGCTGCAATGGGGAAAAGGAAAATATTCATGCAAGCACTAAAGGAACAAGCAAACTCATCACTAAAAGGCATGAGCTGACCAGCATGTTCGAACCTAAAACCTTTCTACCCAAAAGCAACTGTACTAACCACAGCATCAACACACCGCCCCCTGCAACTGTTAAAATTAGATAGCCCTTCTTACATTCAGTGTGTAATGGAGCGATTTAGGGACCTGTTTGATGTGCAGAAGAGCTGCACGTTTAATGTGTCGTGGGCTTCTGCGTTTTGTTTTCTTTTTTAATTTCCGCCTGTTTCTTTAGACATTAAGATTTGAACTCTTTCTGACATTTTAATGTTTGTGAAAATCCCCAGAAATCGAACGTAAAATGTTTAAAGAAGGTGGTCAGCATAAGATGGGTAGTGGTCACAGGCTATGCAAACAGCTAACAAACAGAAACAGTGGTGAGCAAAGCAGCTGCCAGAGCCGAGCTCTCAGTGAGATGGCGTAGGGTGGATCATTAGTGTAAAAATTATTAAACCAATAAGCAGGCCAGCTGTCCCTGGTGATTGCAAAGACCATATTGCTAGAGTCTATTTTCCTTGATTTTGTTATGTTTTCCCTCTTCTCTCTCCCTCTGTCTTCTGGTGCTTCTATCTCTGCCTTTGATTTGATTTGACTTGATTAAATTGACTTTGTTCACTAGTAGCAGCAGCACTTCAGGATGATGATGCCAGTCACTCAACCTGCCTCTCTTTCAAGTACTTGTCCAGAAATCTCCTGCATGTTATTATTTCCCAGTACTGCAAACAGACAAACGTGTCCATGAATTTGGATTCATATTCGGTTGGCTTTTGGTGAGCTGATACTTTCTATATTTTCACCACTAGA